TCCATCACAAAAAGCAGCCATCTATCAATCACATTATAGCTTAAGAAGGGTAGCATTGGACAGTGCCAAACTGAAACCTAACATTGTCACTGGTAATAAAATGTAAAAAGAGCAAGCCAGGCTTGAGGGCTCTGAATGGTCAGAGCTATTAACTCATTGACTCTAAGTTGAGTCACTGGAGGGTAAAGTGTAAAAAGAGCCCGCTAACCAAAACCAAACATTTATTCCCTGGTAGTAAAATGTAAAAAGAGCTAGCTAACCTTGATGGCTCTGAATGGTCAGAACTATTAACTCATTGTCTAGTTGAGATAGTGATGGTTGAGGCAACTTTAATGTTAATCATATGTAAATTATTGTTGATTTTCTATTGTTGGAACTTCCCCCCTAAGAGATGTCTTTGTCTCAGAATCTCAATAAAAGGAATGGTAAAAAGCCAGAGCAGGGGTTAGTCTTCCCACTAGAGGTCAACTTCCTGCCTGGCCCCCATTTCCCCAAATTAACTCTTTTCCAGTCTCTCTTTATTTTAGTGTGCGGCTTTTTTCAGAAACCGGACCCTTAGTGGGCCATGAACCACGCGCGTCGTGTTAAGGGATTCCACAGGACAGAGTACAGATGGTGGCTGACCTTGACCTACATCTCCCAGGAGGCTCCAGAGCTGCACAGCCAGTGGATACCTTCAAACCATGTTGAAACACCACCACCTACAAAAATGACACACTCAAGGGATGGACTCAGTGGGTACCAGAGCCCTACTGAAGTACGCCGGAAAATACGGTAATTATTCCTTTGTGTGAGGGGGTCCCTGCACAACTGTTTCTCCATGATGTTGGAGGTCAGTGGTCAGTGGTCACAGAGAGTCCTTGCAACTTATCAGCCTGGGTATGTTTCACATACTGGTGTTCCAATAGCAATCAAGATTCAATTACAACAAAAGGGTGTACAACCCACATGGGGGGGGGGGGCACGCCTCAAGTACCCAGCTTGAGTTATTAGGGAGACCATGCCCCTGGACCTTACTACATTAGGTCATACTACCAAACCTGGGTTATGTAACAGCTCTACCTAATGCATAGAAATAAACACAGGGAGTCTGCAAAAATGAAGAGACAAAGAAACATGTTCCAAATGAAAGAACAGAATAAAACTTTAAAAAAAAAAAAAAGAAAAGAAAAGAAAGAAAAGAAAAGAAAGAAAGAAAATGGAGGCAAGCAATCTACCAAATGCGGAGTTCTTTTTTTAAAAAAAAAAAATACATTTTATTGATTTTTTACAAAGAGGAAGGGACAGGGAGAGAGAGTTAGAAATGTTGATGAGAGAGAAACATCGACCAGCTGCCTCTTGCACACCCCTAACCGGGATGTGCTAGCAACCAATGTACATGCCTTTGACCGGAATCAAACCTGGGACCTTTCAGTCCACAGACGATGCTCTACCACTGAGCCAAACTGGTTTCAGCTAGATGCAGAGTTCTTGACACTGGTTATAAGGATGCTCAATGAACTTAGTGAAGACTTCAATAGTATAAAAAAGAACTAGTCAGAAATGAAGGATATACTAACTGAAATAAGAATAATTTACAGGGAATCAACAGTAGAGAAGATAAGCCAAGAATAAAATCAGTGATTTGTAATATATGAAAACAAAAAGCACCCACACAGAACAGCAAAAAGAAAAAGAATGCAAAAGAATAAAGATAGTGTAAGCAGGCTCTGGGAAAACTTCAAGCCTACCAACATTCACATCATGGGGGTACCAGAAGGAGAGGAGAGAGAGAACAAGAAATTGAAAAACTATTTAGGAAAAAAATAAGACAGAAAACTTTCCTAGACTTGTGAAGAAATAGATATACAAGTCTAGGAAGCACAGAGAGTCCCAAACAAGATGACCCCAAAGAGGCCCACAACAAGGCACATCATAATTATAATGTAAAAAGTTAAAGACAAAGAGAGAATATTAAAAGCTGTGAGAGAAAAGCAGTTAGTTACCTACAAAGGAGCTCCCATAAGAATGTCAGCTGGTTTCCCAGCAGAAACTTTGTCGGGCAGAAATATTCAAAGTGATGAAAAGCAGGGACCTACAACCAAGATTACTCTAGCCCACAAATCTATCATTTAGAATTGAAGGATCGATAAAGAGCTTCCCAGTCAAGAAAAAGCTAAAGAAGTCATCATCATCAAACAGTATTATATGAAATGTAAAAGAATTTTCTAGAAAAAGAAGATAAAAAAACATGAACAATCAAATGGCAATAAATACATATCTATTAACAATTGAAGTTAAAAATCAAAATAAATGAACAAACAGAACAGAAATATACTCATAGATAAAGAGAAATTTTGATGGTTGCTACATGGCAGGGGATTGAGGGATAAGTGAAAAAAAGGTGAAGAGATTGAGAAGTACAAATTGGTTGTCACAGAATAGTCAAGGGGAGGTAAAGCATAGCATAGAGAATATAGTCAATAATATTCTAATTACTATGTATAGTATCAGAGAAATATGAGATCTTTTGGGATGATCACTTAGTAAGTTATATAAAGCCTAATCATTGGGGTGTATGCCTATTACTAATATAATATGGTATGTCAACTATAATTAAAAATAAAAATGAAGATGTAGTTCTGAAATGGGAAAACCAGGTCCCAAATATTTTTTCCTGTCCTTATTGTATAATAGCAGCCTTACTTTCTCCTGTTGAGCATTTACTCATTCTTAGATAATCATACATGCCATGAGATGTGTTTCCTGGTAGAAGGACTTGTTTTTTAGGGACCTATAGAACTCAGAGTTGGGCTGACAGAAGACACTTAATTTCCAAGTTGGTCATTAGAAATGATGGTAAGGCAGGGTCACTATTGTTTTTGCCCTTTGTTTCCATACCCATGCATTTTATCTACCAGACAAAGCACCATATAAAGCTTATTGAATTAAAGAATACACTGTATGTTGAAGATGGCATCATCTGATCTAATAAAAGAGTAATATGCAAATTGACTGTACCTCTGCTACACCCACAAGCCAATCAGAAGCAAATATGCAAGTAAACCTAACTAAGATGGCTACAGCCCCAGAGAGCAGGAGGGAGGGTTGGGTTTCCCCATAATGGAGGAATCCAAGCTTTCTGCCTTCCCTTTCTGGCCTTGGCTGGGGGCAGAGCTTGCCATCCTAGGGAGCTGGGAGTCCCAGGCAGAGGCTTTTGGCCTTGGCAGGCAAGCCTCAGTCAGAGGCTTTCATCCTGGGCAGGCCTAGGCAGGGGTGGAGCCGGTGATCAGAGGGAGCTGGAGGGCCCCTGCCCAGGCCTAAAGTTTTTGCCAGAGGCTTTAGGCCTGGGTGGGGCCCAGCCCTTGATTGATGTGAACTATAGAGGAAACACCTTTTCTGACTGCACAATGGCTAAGCTTCCTGTATGCCACTGGTAATATTCTTAGTAACTTGGGTAATAAGAATCCCAAAAGGTGATCTAAGGTTTTTCCACTACATTTCTGGAGAAGATACTGAAGATCCACTGCTGGAGGGCTAAGAAATGTCATATCTTGCCCTGCCCTAGGTTTGACTCAATGGATAATGCCTCAGCCTGCCAACAGCAGGGTCTGGGTTCAATTCTGATCAAAGGCATGTACCTAGATTGTAGGCTCCTCCCTGGCCAGAGCCCAGGTCAGGGCTCATGCAGAAGGCAACCAATCAAGTGTTCCTTTCACTTTGATGTTTCTCTCTGTCTTTCCCGATTTCTTCCACATTCTCTAAAGTCAATGGAAACATATCCTCAGGTGAGGCTAAAAAAATAAATAAATAAATGCATATCCTATAAAAGATACATCTTGAAAATGCCTAAAGAAAGTTGTAATTTTTTTCTTAGTGAAGGGACTGGAGTCTGTGTTGATGAAAACACCTTGGTGACTGTGGTGACTTGCTGAGGCTGCAGCAGCGGGGTGATGGGGATGGTGCCTTCCCTTGATCAGCCTGGTTGCCTCCCATAAAGGGAGATAAGACTGTGGCTTAGGTCCTCTCCCAAGGAGGAGTGGGCCTAAGCTGTCAGAGGACATCCCCTGAGGGCTCCCAGTATGTAAGTGGGGGAAGGCTGGTGAGTTGATCCCCCCACACACTAGTGCACAAATTTTGTGCACTGAGCCTCTAGTGTTATAATTATTAATTCTGATCTGGCTTACATCTGTGCTTTCAAACAGCCCTGAGAGCTCTTTCCACTGCTCAATCTCCAGCTTTATGTTGCTTTAGTTTGTGATATGACAAGTGGATTCTATGGTCAATTGCCCACTCTTCCTACCTCTTCGTTAGAATGTGTATCCCCTGGTTAGGCATGAGGTGTTATAAGGTTTCTTAAGTTGACCAAATAATTCTCTAAGTTCATGGATATCAGTCCTGGATGACACCCTATAGGTAAGACAAGCAACTTCATTTCCTTTCTTCCTTTCTCCCTTCCTTCCTTTCTCCCTTCCTTCCTTTCTCCCTTCCTTTTTCCCTTCCTTTCTTTCTCCCTCCCTCCCTCCCTCTCTCTCTCCCTTCCTCCCTCCCTCTTTCTTTCTTTCTTTCTTTCTTTCTTTCTTTCTTTCTTTCTTTCTTTCTTTCTTTCTTTCTTTCTTTCTTTCTTTTTCTTTCTTTTTTTCTCAAAATGAAAATCAATCTGTATTACTAGAATAAATCTCAATTGGTCATGATTTGTTATCCTCCTATATATTCTTAGATTCAATTTTCTCTGATTCTCCATGAGATTGGTATTTATCTTGTTTATGTCAAACAAGATAAAAAAATTATTTTCATTTTCAGTGTTCTCACTCAAGATACTGTATTAATGCTTCATAGGGTTTGACGTAAGGCATGACAAAGGTTGTTTGTTTGTTTGTTAACTTAGAAAATGAGGAGAAAGAGGAAATTTGAAAATGTAAATGATTAGGAGCGAGGCAGTAATTTAGTTTCACAGCATCTTTATTCCACTTGTGAGGTCCACAAGATTTATGTACCTTAAAGTTGCTCAGGCAAAATAATTACACTAACAACATTCTTCCATCTTGTTCTTCATTCATTAGCATGCTCTCAATCTTCACTGGATTTGCTAACTTCTCACATATACCTTTTCTTTTGTTAGTGCAGAAATCATAATAAACATGTAGTTCATATATATATCCACAATATTTCCCACCATTTAAGTCACTTGTGTTTCTTGTAAACCTGAAAAATAAAATAATGAATTATACTAGACTGGTCAAACATTTGAAACATATTCACAAACACAGAAATTGCTTTTCCAGTATATCATTGCTCCTAGGCTCTGCATCATATAAAGTAAGTTTTATTATAATTATTACCTACAGCATTCAGGTTACTCATTTTTATTGACATATATACAATGTCATACACTGCCTTATTTTTCTCTGCCTTGTTCTCTTTCTTACATCAAGGATATTTACTGTTCTTTTAGACATAGCATCTCCATTCCCTAATACTCAATATGATTTGGAAGAATGCAATTCCATTAGATTTTCTAGTCTAACTGGCTCAGTAGTAAATCTTTAACACTGTCCTCTTCAAATACTTTTCATAATTACCAAAGCCAATAATTAACCTAATATAATTCCTTAAGCTCAACATTATCCACAAGTGATATATCCCTCTAGTTTTTTTAAATTTTATTTTCATGATAAAGACAGTGTACCACCTTTTATTAAGTTTTTGTCCATTTTTAAAAGTTCTTTTTTTAAAGTTAGATTTATTGATGTTACATTGGTCATATTAACATACTAGAGGCCAAGTGCACAAAATTCGTGCATGGTGGGGAGTTGTCCCTCATCCCAGCCTGTGCCCTCTCACAATCTGGGACCCTTCAGGTGGGGTCCCGAGGCCTGGCCAGGAATGAGGCCCTATCAGGGCTTTCCTTTCCCCAATTGCTAGCAGCTGGCCCTGCCCCTACCGCTGCCACTACTTGCCATCTGTGCCACGCATCCCCTTCCCCCATCCCTCACCACCAGTTGCCTCCCTCTGAGGGTGACAGGCATGAGGTGTGATCACTTGACTGTCCTGGGCCTCCCTCTATGGGGCAATCGATTGTGAGGCCCCCAGATTGATCACCTCATAGAAGGAGACCCTACCCATCCACTGCAGTGCCTCTGGCCGAGTAGTCTAGGCCTCCCTCTTTGGGATGATCAATCATGGTCCCCCCTCATCCACTGCCCCACAGAGGATGGCCTGGGCCTCCATATGTGGGATGATCGTGGGGCAATGGCAGGGCCCCAGACCAATTGCATTGCACCTGCCTTGGCTGGCCTAGCGCCAGTGCGTGTCATACCTTGGTCGTCCAGCAGGTTGTCAGGATGGTTGTTTTGCTGTTCAGTTGTTTGGTTGATTTGCATATTATGCTTTGATTTTATAGATATTGTACCATGTGTCCACCACCCAAAGTCGAATTTTTTTCCTGTAACCATATGTTAAGACCCCCTTCTCTCCCTCTAGGTGTTTTTTTTAGAGATTTTCACTCTGAAGTTCTGAATTATTACAAGCCCCTAATATAAGATTATTGGTCAGGGATTATGCATTAACATAAATATATAAATTGAAAATATTATCTCTTGAAAAAAATTAGTATTAATACTTGAGTTGATAATGATCATTAATCAATAAATAAGTTCATCAATTAAATATTCAAAAGTAAAAATTTCTATTTGAGGTGATATATTGATGTCATTGGTCACACCCTTTTCCAGAAAAAAAGTTCAAAGGGGGAATTATATATGCAACACATGTAATTATGTATTATATACAAATATAATGTATTTTATATACATATATTATCACATAATTTTTTATTTCAGCATTATTTATTTATAATTAGAAATAATCTATTATGTTTCCAGCACATTATAGATTATCTTCCCACTAGAGGCATGGTACATGAAAATTCACTCACTGGAGGGGGAATCCCTCAGCCCAGCCTGCCCCCTCTCACAGTCTGGGAGCCCTCAGGGGCGGGAGGTGACCCGGCGATCAGGGGAAGGCGATGCCCCATCACACCTCTGCTGCTGCCACTGCCAGTAGAGCAAGCCTTGGACGGCCCTAGTTATCTGAGCCTTGGGTGGCCCTGGGCGGCTGAGTAGCTGCCTTCTGAGGCTTGCCTGTGCCTCAGGCTGGCCCTGGGCAGCTGGGAGGCTAAGAGGACTGGGGGATTCTGGAGGCAGAAGTGTTGCAAGGCTGAGGGGACTGGGAACCACCATCTTATGGTTGTGGACACTGTTATCTTTGAGGGTGGGACAGTCAATTAGCATATTCCTTCCCTATTGGCTGTGGGCACTGCTGTCTTTGTGATGGCATAAGAGTCAATTAGCATATTCCCGATTTATTAGATAGGATTAGCAAAAATTGCAAACACATGGAAATTCTACTTTTTTTTTTAAAAAAAAGACCTCATTTATACTCTCCCTTGATACACACATTACCTCTACCCCTAGTCCTTCACTCCAAAAGAGGTCTTTAAACGATATATCCTTTTCTCTTTAAGTATATCTGTACTTATCTCATTGCAAACTGCCGAAGCTAGAGATGCCTTGTTTTTTCACTCATATTTCTACACCTACTTTTTTTGTCTAACGGAAAAAACAACCAAAACAAAAAGCAGCCAAAGATTCTATTTATTGTCTAGCCCAAGGTAGTGAATATGCAGGAATCTCAGAGTTTAGGCTCCGTGTGGCAACACCTCAACACAGTCATCCTGAGTTCACTCCAGCTTATGTGACCTCAACAAACAGGTATGTGTAAATTCATGGGCTAGCAACAGTATACAACAGGTTAAGACTAGGTTTCTTTCTTTAGTCCAGTTTTGTGTACTTCTGAAATTAAAAGGATTATATACTACCAATAAAATTTTGACATTACTTTTATGTAAGTCTTGCTTTTTTCTTCATTAAAGCTGAACAAATACAACATATTAACCCATTTATAATTACACTGATGGCCCAATGCACAAAATTTGTGTGTGTGTGTGTGGGGGGGTTGGGGGGTCCCTCAGCTTAGCCTGCACCTTCTCCAATATGGGACTCCTTGAGGGATGTTGGTTGGATCAGGTCTAAACAGGCAGTGGGACATCCCTCTCACATTCCAGGACTGCTGGCTTCCAAATGCTTGCCTGCCTGCCTTCCTGATTGCCCCTAACAATGCCCTGATCACCCCCTAACAACGCCCCTGCCAGCCTGATCAACATCTAACTGCTCCCCTGCTGGCCCAATTGCCCCTAACTGCCTTTCCCTGAAGGCCTGTTTGCCCACAACTACCCTCCCCTGCTGGACATCCTCTGGCAGCCATCTTGTGTCCACATAAGGGTGGCCATCTTTGACCACATGGGAGTGGCCAACTTGTGTGATGGTCAATTTGCATGTTACCTCTTTATTATATACACAATGAAATAGTTTATATATAGCATATATGCAATATACCATGCCCAAGTTCATTTTATTCTCTTTACCAAAAATTCTCTTTTATCTCTAGAGTTTCCATTCAAGGTGGCCATTTCAAATGTCAGTTTATAAAACAAATTTCAAAGCTAAAGTTTATGTTTTGTTATTCTGACTGAAGCATTTTCACTTTCTATTCTTTTTACCTGTAGATTTTTAAAACTAGTCTAATCATGCAACTAATGGTTAAGAAACTAAGGACAGAATCCATCTTTCACTCATCTGTGAATCACAGAATTTAGCGTCATTTTAAGTTCATGTTAGAGTCCATTGAATTTTGTTGGCTTCTATTGTTCTCTTAGATGAAAACACTATCCACAGAAATTCTCCCTTAATTAGCTACCATATGTTTGTTAGTAATTTGTCAAGATAATGGAGAGACATTTGTGGAAACTTCTTGTATTATTAGATGCATTAAGGAAACCTTATGGAAAATAATGCTTTACAGATGTAATTTCAATTGAAGCCAGTTTTAATTGTAACCTATAATGCTCCCACAGAAAAATCCTTTACTCAAATCAATCAGAAACATCAATGTGACTAAAGACTTACCAGTCAGAGGAGATAATTGTTGCATCTAACTCTTTTCCATATTTGTAATCTTCTATGGGAGATAATCCTAACCAAACGTCATAGAACTTCTTGGACTTTATAAACTTCTACAGGAAATAGAGATGATTGTTAAAATAACTATGTTCCATTTCTGTATATTATCTCACAACATAATTTCTTGCAAATAACTCTCTTAAGGTAACATTTTTAACATTAAATACTACTATTTTTCATTGTTATTAAAAAAAATTGAGGCAGTGTTTTTTACCATAAGAGTTCTTCCAGCATTTATACAACAGTAAATGTCTCACTCAAATAAGGACCTACCAGTCCATTCATAACCTTAATTTAGAGTCAATGAAGTTCACATACTTCAGGATTCAAATATTGAGCAGTAAATATTCAGCCTAGGGGGCAAAGAGGTGGCTATAAACATATGTTAATAGAAATAGAAAGAACAGGAAAAATGTAGCAAAGTCAGATAAGAGTGGTTATAGAACAGAAGAACTTAAAAGCAGTTTTGTAGCCAAAGTAACATTTTTAAAATAAATACTACTAATAGATCATTTGAGGAAAAAACACATAAAGAAGAGCTGTAGATTGATTTCCCTCTCTTTTATGAAAGACGAGGAAGATGTTTGAGTAGGGAAGCTGAGACTATGGGGAAAATGAACTTTTGCCTTGAAAAGTAAATATGTGATTACCATCTGAGAGACCAGAAATGCTGAGTAATAATTAAAATATGGAGATACTATTTATATATTTGAAAAAAATAAATATATAAACAAATTCCAGAGAACTTACTTTTCCTGAGACCCAGGAACTCTACAATATATTTGCTTGGCACTTGCCTTCGCCATCCCATCTTAATTCTGCTTTTTCATACATATTTTATCCCAACTATCTTCTTATTCTAGTATATTTTGGCTTTCTCCCTTAGTTAAAAAAGATACAAAATGGTGGAAATGTAGAATCTTCTCCTTTCTACATCTTTTGGAATTGGTAAACCTCAGGGATAATTTCCAGATCTCCTGTTTTTTTGACAAATGCTCATAAATCATGTCCTAAAGGTTGATCCTAAACTTTGGAAATGCTTATAGACCTGATTCTGGGTGCCCCATATCTATTCATTTGCCCAGCCTCTCAGAGGGACTGAAGCTAGGGTTCTTAAGCTAACGTTTTATACACTTTACTTTGGCTCCCTGAGATAAATGTGCCAAGTCTCAGTCACGTCATGCTCCAACTAGAATAAGCCAAAATGGTGTCAGGATTGATACAGATCTTCCCCAACATGCCACACTCCTACTTATTCTACCTTGGGAAAAATGATTTCCCTCCTCACAAGCAGAGACCCATCGGACCTTACCAATACACTTTCGTTCTTAATCTTCAGCAGGCTGGCATTGTGAGTAGAACATGTGAAGTCACTCTGTTGCCAAGTCTCATAGTTTACAAATTCTCTATAACAGCTGTCCTCATGCCACATCCATTCCTCTGGACAAGGTTTACATTTGTGCTCTGAAAAAAGAATGTAGTTCCACTTGGTGTGCTTGATAATCTTCATTAGTCTCATTATTCCCATTGTCCTCTGTGTTAAATTAACCAAATTTACTTGTCTTTTTTCTTTGTACATTAAAGGTGAAGAAAATGGCTCAAACCTCTTTGGCTCAGTGGATAGAGCATCAGCTTGAGGACTGAAAGGTCCCAAGTTTGATTCTGATCAAGGACATGTACCTTGGTTGCGGGTACATCACCAGTAGGAGGTGTTCAGGAGGCAGCTGATAGATGTCTCTCTCTCATCAATATTTCTAACTCTCTATCCTCCTCCCTTCCTCTCTGTAAAAAAATCAATTATATATATTTATTTTTTTTAAAGGTGAATAAAATGAATCTTGTGTTGTAGGCCCCTCTATACCACCACAATGTGTCTAAAACATAATTTTAACAACACATTTCAAATTAAACACTTACCTTCCAGGACATTTTCCTACATCAGGAGCCAGGGATAATAATTAATTAATTAATTAATTTTTCTCTGTCACTTTTGATATTTCTACAAAGTAATAAAGGCTAATCCTATGAAACATTGGGTAGTGAGAATCAAGCCCACAAACCTACATCAGGCCTGCCTTCTTCAAATAGACCATTTCTAGCGCTCACTTGTTGAATATTTGAGAAACATTGCAAGGGCACAAAGAACATATTTTATTTTTAATAGTTACAGAAAGTGTTATAAGGGCAAGGCCTACATTTATTTTCTCCTAACTCTTATTAAAAATTCACTGAAATTTAGGAACCAAGTCACCTATAAAAAGATATATTTTTCTCTCAATCTTCTATTGACTGATTACCCAGAAAAAACCTAATGAATGTCTGATTAGAGAATATTGCTTAATGTTTCATTAAGTTGCTGTAATTCCTGCAATTTTGGGGTCTATGTTATTATTACTTTTTCTGTTTTTCCTTTAACTAAATAGAAATATTAAGTACTCTGTCAACCAGATTTAATTCCTTCCCCCAAATAATGTCTTCCTAAAGAAAGACTGATTCTGAAGTGACTCCTAGGATTAGTTCATTGTATAATAAATAACTCAGACAAGGAATATAAGATTACCTGGTTCTTTTTGATATAGCTCATAACATAATTTGGTGGCCATTTCTTGCAGTGTGCTAGAGAGATTCTTGATCTTCTTGAGTTGTAGAGAAACATTACTCTGAAGTATGTCTTTGAAATCTTGTAGCTTTTCCAGTTTTTCCATTTCTATTTTCAAAGTTAGGTAAACTCCATTTAAAAAAATAAAGAAATGATAAAAAGTATTAATCCCTCAATACACCCATCACCTCTTTTTTGCTGAAATATTAAGAATAATGAAGGTCTAGGGAAGTATTCATTTCACAAAAGTGAGGGAAAGAGATGAAATACAATACTGTAAGGACTTAATTATAAAGTCCCCTTTTGTGTTCACATATTGCTTATAATCATTCCAAAGTCTCAATTCAAAAAGTGAACTTCCTTGTAAAACTCATGCCCTTCCATTCAATCAAACCATGGGTGAGGCCCTGGCCAGATAGCTTGGTTGAAGCATTGTCCCATCACACCCAAAAGGTTGTGGGGGGTTGAGTGGGGGGGTAGGACATACTAGATGCAACCTATCAATGTTTCTTTTTCATGTCGATGATATTCCTCCCTCCCTCTCTCTCTCTCTCTTTCTTAGTTGCTCCCTCTCAATGAACACATACTTGGGTGAATTTTTTTTAAAGAAAAACAAAACACACACACAAAGAAAACTAGGATAATACATACATATGCTTCCAAATACTCCCAGTCCAATCAGCAGCAGAAGGCACAGAAGAATCAGAGCCAAGGCTCTTTGACGCCACACATGGGAAGGAGCAGGAGGTGCTGTGGAAAGCAAAATTAGCAAAAAAAAAAAAAAAGCCTGGAAACGGTATACATCTTAATTGATTCATTAATTTTGCATATTTTTTCTTTCCTAACATGTCCTGGTAAAGCCCTTACAAAACATCCATAGCTCAGAATCTTACCTTTCACAGCATCTTGGTCAAACTCCTGAATATTTTCTGTCTCACTGGAGTCCTGGAATTTTAGGTCTGCATAAGTAACTTCTTCAGACATGGAGATCTATGAAAAGGAAGCTTGACAGAAAAAAAAAAAAAAAAGATGAAGTTTAAACTAACAGTTTAATGTTAAACCGGAGTTGTGATTTTTAATTCAGTTTATAAACTAAAGCTTAAACTTCTGTTTTTAAAGCTCTGTATGAAGCTCCAACAAGTTTACAAATGAGCTGCAACCCTACTCTGGCCTCAGACAAGAACAGAGAATTTGTGCAATAAGGACTTTCCAGACATTCTTCCTCTTATCTCTTCCTTTTTCTTACTTCTTTATGTCTACCAACTACAGCGTAATTTTCAAATTTGTGTCTGGGTATTACTAGTGTTGCTCAAGGGGTTATCGGTCACTAGGGCAACATGATGCAGACATTGAATTTATTGGACACAAACTTTCAAGCAGAGAAATAACAAAGAGAGGGCACAATTCTCAAACACTCGCTGCTTCACAAAAATAGATTCTCTGCGCATGTCATGGCAAAGGTTCTGACAGAGACGGTTTGTCACAGCCAGGAGACAGCAAAGACACAAAGGGCATGCCCAGAGAAAGGGAGAGTGTAAGCTCTCCCTTGGCAGCTTGTGGCCAGATGGCGGTGGAAGGTTTGTCCCATAAACCATACGGTTGTAGGGTATAGATTAGCCAAGATGAGATAGAATACCCAGTTTCCCTAGAAAATACAAGAAATATACTAAGGTGACCTGAGGCTCAGGGACCACGTTAGGGAGCCTGCATGCCGATGGTCAATGCTGGTATACCAAGGGTTCTAAAAATGGTTTGGTAGACCAGAAAAGCTGAGCTCCGCCTTGCTATCTTTCTGCAGATGGCTCAGTCAATTCAAGCCAGGTTTCAGCAAAGCTACGAAAAGGATGAGGAAAATGAGTCTCGGGGTTATGCAAGCAGGAGTCTGGTGACACAGCATTCTCAGGAGGCAGGGACTCATTCATTTCTTGATCAAGTATGTAAGGTGGAGGTGGGGTTGTAGAACGATTGTTTTTGAGTAAATTCTTTCTAATTTCATTAGTAAATATTACCTGTAATTTTGTATTGGTATTGCCCCCCATAAATACCGTAAAATGGATTGATATTCTTTTTTTGCTTTGCTTTTTACTAAAGAGAATATGTAAAGATTTTTTAAAGTACGTAACGAAAACATTAACTGCTGCTTGATTATATGTTGGAATAGACAGTAAGATTAAATCCAATAATAGGTCCCTTTCACAAGAAATACTAAATAATAAAAATCATAGATACAAAATAATTAGAACTATGCACAATCAAAATGAAGAAAACTTTAAAAGTCTTGAACAAAAAAATTAAAAAATAGGAAAACATCCTTTTGGATTGCAAGTATCGATATTGTAATAAAAAAAAAAGTCACCTCTCCTTAATGTATCTAAACAAGCAATGTCAACTTAAAGTACTAACAGATTTCCCTCCTGATACTTGAAAAATGCTATCAAAATTTATCTAAAAATATGAGAGTGAACATCTTGCCAGCAACATTTAAAAGAAAGAATATGCAAAACATATGATTAACTCATCTTAAGCACTTTACTAATGCTAGTTTTATCTTTACAGCTCTAATACTTTTATCATCGCCCTTATTTTACAAATGCGGAAGTGAGCTATTAAGAGGTCAAGTCCTGCCTAGGTCTTATGACTCAGTTGAGTGTAGACCTAAGGAGCAAGAGGTTATGGGTTTGACTTTCAGACCTGGTAGTGGGCTCTGTTCCCAATGAGGGGCATGAAATAGATGACCAATAAGTGATTCTCTCTCATCATTGATGTTTCTATCTCTCTATCCCTCTCCTTCCTTTCTCTCTCAAATCAATAAAATAAAAAAATAAATAAAAAAGAGGTTATGCCTTAGCCAATTTGGCTCAGTGGATAGAGTGTCGGCCAGTGGACTGAACGGTCCCAGGTTCAATTCCGGTCAAGGGCACATGCCTTGGGTCCCCAGTAGGGAGTGTGCAGGAGGCAGCTGACCAATGATTCTCTCTCATCATTTATGTTTCTATCTCTCTCTCCCTCTCCTTTCCTCTCTGAAATCAATAAAAATATATTTTAAAGTGAAAAATAAATAAAACAAAAAAGAGATTATGTCTTTATCCAATATCACACAGATGACAAGTAGTAGAGTTGAGACCTGACCCAAGCATCCTGGCTACCTCGTGTAATATATCCACAGGCCATAATGCCTCCTATTTTTTTTTAAAAAGCCTGTTGTGGTGGGAATAGACTAGCCCTTCTATTTTCCTTGTGGATCATATATTTATATATATAAAAAAGAAAACATTAACATTTTAGAAGAAAATATGCACTGGTGTATTTTTTGAAATTATTATCTTTAAGTGGGAAAGACCTTTAGAAACAAGATGAATAAAGCCATTCAAGATTCATACAATTGACAACAGAAGAGCTAAGTTTGTTTATATGGTAAAATAAGATAAAGTAGAATACTCATGGCAAAATGAACAAAATTATACATACATATATATATAATATATTTATATGTGTTTGTAATATATACTAGGCACCTGTTGCAGGAATATTCCTGCAAGACCTCTGGTGGGCTTCCCTTCCGCTAGCCCCACCTCTCCCACCCCCCCACCTCCCACTGTGGCAGGCAGGGCAGGGTGGGCAGGACAGGTGGGGGGGTGCACCCCGCCCATCCTGCCTGCCCCACCATGCCCATGGACACCTCCGCCACCATCTCTGCGACCACGCATGCTGCCACCACTGCAGTGCGCTTTGCTCTGCATGCCCTACCCTCTGTGCCCGCTGCTGCTGTCGCTGCCTTTTTGGCTGTGCCCACTGCCACTCTGGGGCTGTGCATGCCACTGCTGCGTGCCCCACCCTGCCCCACCCACCTGATCTGCTACGCCCACCACCCCCACTGCCTCCTGGCGCCACCATGCACCTCGCCCAGCCCCGCCCCACACACGCTGCCAGTGCGTTTCCTCCAGCAGCTGAAGCCACCTTCTTTCCACTTTCCCTCCCTCTTTCTTCTATGCTGTCTTCAGTTTCACTCTTCCCTCCCTCTGTGTATGCAAATTAACCCAACAAAGATGGTGGTTAATTTGCATACTCTCTCTGATTGGCTGGTGGGCATGGCTGGTATAGCGGAGTGATGGTTAATTCGCATATTACTCTATTATTCGGTTATACTAGAGGCCCAGTGCATAAAATTCATACTGGACCTGGCCTGCACCCTCTCATAATCTAGGACCCCTCAGGGGAGAGGGATACATTTCAGCCACACTTTGGAATCAAGACTAGAGTGAGAGGCAAGAACTACCTCATCCGAACTGCCAGTTTAGGCCCAATCCCTGCAACCGGACATCTAGCAGTTGGTCATCTCTCTCACAATCTGGGACCTCTCACCCCTAACCGCTCACCTACTTACCTAGTCAGTGCACATCATAGCGTCTTGTTGTTCTTCTGTAATGGTCATATATATATATATATATATATATATATATATATATATATATATATATAGACTAGAGGCCCAGTGCACAAAATTCATGACAGGAGGTGGGGTCCCCTCAGCACAACCTGTACCATCTCCAATTTGGGACCCCTTGGAAGATATCTGACTGTAGTCAGATATCCCTCTCACAATCCAGGACTTCTCACCTGCCTGCCTGCCTAATTACCTCTAACTGCCATGTCCCCATCCCCCCCTTCCTGCCAGCCTGTTGGCTTGGTCGCCATGGCCTGGTCACCCCATGGCCTGGTCACCCCATGGCCTGGTCACCCCATGCAGCCTGCTGCTCTGTCATTTGATCGTCCCTCACTAACCCTCCTGCCAACCTGGTTGCCCCATGTAGTCTACTATTCAGTCGTTCAGTGGTCCCTCACTAATCCCCCTGCCAGCCTTGTAACCCCCGGAAGCCTGTTGGTTGTTACTATTACTGTGATGGCATCCGAAACAATTAGCATATACCTCTATTATTAGTATAGATTATATATTTTTCTTTTTTCTTTTACTAATAAATCTTTCTTGTTCAGATTATTACAGTTGTTCCTCTTTCCTCCCCAGCTCCCCTCTACCCAGTTCCCACCTCACCCTCTGGCCTTACCACCTCCCCGCCCCCACTGATAGCACCATTAATCCAAGATTAATAGTTAATGGTGCTATCAGATGCATTGAAAGTAAGAAAGACAAATTCATGTCTGAATTAGAGTCCCAATTATTATTTAGAGCTTCAATTTTCTCTTGTTTTGCAAACACACACACACACACACACACACACACAGACACATTATGGGGGCTTTATTGTCATTACTTCATCTAAACCTAATTACTTAGCCAAGTGCTCATTTCCTAATACTATCACATTAGGAGGAAGAGGCTCAACACATGTATTTTGGGTCTACAAACATTTAATCCATAATTTAAGTGTAAAATAAGGTATGTGTATATTTAATGTATGTTTATATGGGTACTAGAGGTCCAGTGCACAGGGCGGGGGGGGGGGGGGGGGTTGTCCCTCAGCCCAGCCTGCACCCTCTCCAATCTGGGACCCCACGAAGGACATTCGTCTGCCTGTTTAGGCCCAATTCTGATGGACATCCCTCTCACAATCCAAAACTGCGGAGAGGGCAGTTGGGGGCGACCCATGCAGACTTTACACACTGAAGTTTTGGCTCAACTGGAGAGGGATACATTTCAGCCACACTTTGGAATCAAGACTAGAATGAGAGGCAAGAACTACTTCATCCCAAACTGATTCGCAACAGGTTTAGTTCCTGTACATTTCCTAAGTCATTGGCTACTATTGAGGGCTTAAGACTGTCGTTTTAATTCTCAGTGCTTGTAATGTTTCAAATTACATACAATGTTCTAAAAAATATATTATTAGTTGTACTGGTTTTCTATTTCCTATACATTTTTTAGGGAGAATAAGAGAGCTTTTAATGTTTCAACAAAAATTTTAAAGGTCAGGCCTAGCTGGTTTGGCTCAGTTCATAAAGTGTTGGCCTGTGGACCAAAGGGTCCC